AACAAAAATATCAGCAAAGAGATGATATGGGAATACTTGAAAAAAATCAAACCTATCTGCTCAAGCAGGCTGCAGTAGGGTGGACCCTTGGAGAGTTAGCTGACCTGCTGAGCCTCTGTCAATTATTTTTAAAGAATCACATGGAATGTGAAACTTCAGGATGCAGGAGGTTGCTCAGCAGTCTGTGGCTGAGATGTTGAAGTGCCTTGGGACAACCATTGCCATCACAACGAAGAAATTTTGTTTACTTTCCTGGCACAGGACCTCCCCACTTTGAAGGAATCTGGAGTGACTAAAAATCCCTTGGCAAAGCTCTGTCTTTCTCAGAGGTGGGATTCATCTCAGCTGACTGTAGAAGTGTGAAAGTCACACAATGATCCAAACTAATCATCCTTCCTCTTCTCACAGGGCATAAGAAGCAACACGCATCTCACACACACATATATATGTATATACATATATCTATATATATACATACATATATATATATATATGTATATATATGTTCAGTGGGACAAATCTCTTGCTGGAAGTGCCCACCTCTTCTACTGAGCATAGTGGGAATTTGGGAGTTTTGGTTATTGATAGCTGTCTACCTTAGAGAAGATGAGCACTAAATTGTATGACTTGCCCTGGAGAACAGGCTTACTTTTGGTCCTTTGGAGCCACAGACGAGGTGCTTGATGGCTTACACTGGCTATGCAGTGACATACAAATTCTTTCTCTGACTCACAGGTTCTAGTGCAATTTCTTGGCTGTTGGCAACCTCATTAAAAACCCTGATGAATGCAATGATACAGCCCCTGAATTATTCTCACTTCCACCAATTTTGTTTGAGAACATGGCAATATTCTCCCCATATTTTACAGTTTAATGTAATGCTGATAAATGATATGACAATGATAAATTTTCATTTTATTTAAAGCTGTTTATCATCCATATCTATTATAGAAAGTCATCAATTATGCAAAAAGCGTGAATCTTTAAAGAGCCTCTAAAGTGTCTCTATTTCTGGATTGTATGTGTGTATTCTTTACTCCTTACACTGGAGACTCCTCCATTAAGTATCATTTCGCACAAAGAGCCCGAAAAATGAAACTTGACAGGGAGATCTTAGACAAGCTGGAGGCTTGTCACAAAATGTGGCGGAGCCATAAAAATTTCATGTCTTGGGAGAATCCTTCAACACTTGAAGCTGGGTCCTAATCAGAGAACCAGCGGACTAGATGGATGCGTGTATCTCGGATCAAAAAGCCATGCTCTATGGCTCGCCTGAAGTCACCTTCCATAGCTTAGCCAGGGCTTCTCAATAGAAGGGGAAATAATTAGGTCCTTCATGAGCTCTCATTAGCGGAGGGGTCCACACTGCTCACAGCCCAGAGATTTCTCCAGTCTGCGGTCTGTCGTAAAAGCCAAAGGAGCAGCACCCCAGCAACTGGCATGTGTGTGGACCATGCTGCAGAGACTTGTGGCTTGCGGAGGTCTGCTCTTGCTCTGGAGCAATAGAGCAAGATGGATGAAATGGCTGAGATGTCGTAAGTTGGGCAGCTATTGCTCATCTCTGAGTTTGCACAGCAACCTCTTTGCTATGGAGGGACAGATTCTGCTCACAGGGCAGTGTCTTTGGAGCCACCTTGCACTAACAGCAGTGTAATTGGCAGCTTGTTTTGGTATGTGCATTAAATCACAGTAACAGGGAGGTTTTACAGCAAGGAATACAGGTCAGGGAGTGAATACCAAACAGAGACCCTTTAAAGTAGATGAAGATATTGGAATCTTGGATCTTTTCTTTTTTTCCTTTCAAGATACTGCGATGACAAAAAAAAAAAAAAAGAGTTAAAATAAGGAAATTAGATCACAAAAAGCAAATTAACTAAACAGCACCATCCTGGCCTGATGCTGATCTTGCACATGGTGTGCCAGTAAATCCCAAGTAACCCAGCACACATCTGGGCGTTTCTGGGGCGGCTCTGTCTATTCAGGCCTGCCAGGGTGTTGGAGGGGGCCCGCAGCTGCCAGAGCTCTCCGGTAGCGTGTGACAGGAAAGGGAGAGCTTTCTCACACATCTGACACAAGAGGTCGATTGTGGGGATTGCTGACGGGTGACCTCCCTGTGCCACCAGTGCTGGGGCTGCGGGCTCCTCTGGCACAGGCACCCACTAGGAGACCTTCTGCTCTTGCATTACAATGCCCATAGCATTGTAAGTGTCCTGTAGTTGCCAAAGACTTAGATACTTAAACATCTCCCTGAAGTAATTAGTTGTGTTTTTAAATTACTTACAACGTATTTAGTGCTGTAGGGGATGTGTCAGGTTGTGACAGAGAAGGGAGTAGAAAGCCTGTGGAGTGGGAAGTATGGTGGCATCAGCTATTTTTAAACATGCTATGCAAGGTCACCTTCACAGTATCCCTGCACCCGGCGCTGGTGTCTCCCACCCGCCTGCCCTTCACAGCACATGGTGATCTTTGCCATGAAATCTTTAATTTTCTTTCATTCTTCATTTCTATTCTTTGTTGCCATCAGGAGATGTCCTTGACAGTGCCATGCAACTTTAAGCCAAGTAGGCAATAATACAATGGCAGAGTTGCAGCCATCATGCCTTTTATTGAGTGCATTAAAGGCCTGGGATCAAAGGCTGATTACTTCCAGCTCTAGTAGAGTTGCAGTGGCACATTAGTAGGACTTTTTTTTCTCCCTGCCAGTTCAAACAACTACACAACTTTCCATTCAGCTTCTATTTTTTCCTTAGGTTCAGGGCATGAGGATGAATGGCCTCTGAATCCCGGCTTCTCCCATGGCAGACACTGCCTCTCACTGCCAATCTGCCTGTCACAGAGCTTGTTGTGGATCTTGTACCCAGTGCTTTGACGGTTAGACTGGTCCAGAGCATCACTGCTCTACCAGAGAGAAACCTTTTGCTTTACAGCCATGAGCAAAACCAGTTTCTCTCGTGCCATACAGAGAAATGTTATTTTCTTTTGGTAGCTCTCTCCCATACATGCTGATGAAGGGAGAGAGGTTCCCTCAAGAGGTTCTCCATGGCCCTTCCAGTACCTATTTGTGCATGTCAGCATCTCTGTTTTTTGCCTCCTCTGCTGGACACAGTTCCCAGTGCATCCTGGGATTGTGCTTGTCTTTCCATGACAGCATCCCATTGGTGCCCAAAATAATTAACTACCAGCATGTCCTTTTCCCCTTCAGCCAGTTCCAGATGAGTTCACAGTTCACAGTGTCAGTTCTTGCTGTTAATCCATAAACTATAACCTTTACATAGGGTACTGTTCAACATAATTAGATTTCTATTACATGGTGTTCTTTCCTGCAGTTAAACAAGACTTGCTTTACTTCAACAGCCAGCCCCAGGTGAGGTTTAATTGTAAGCTTGGTGTTAAAGCTCTTGTGCTTGCACACCATTCTCTCAAAGCCTCCAGTCCACCACACCACAGCCTGCACTTATCTTGACGTGACACGTTAGCAATCATCCATAGCTCTCTGGCAGCGAGATCCAGACTTGCCCTGCAGGATGTCAGCCCTCTCCCAAGGATCAGCTCTTTTCATGAAGAGAAGAATAAAACCAGGATGGCTCTTAGTCAGGTCACCCTGACTGCAGCATAAACACACTACCTGCTCTGGTGCAAGCTGGAGTGGAAAACAAAGGCACAATAGACCAAACAAGGTCATTAACAACAATTTGATCCAATTATACATCTACAACCAGGGCTCTATGTTTGATGATTTTTATTTTGTGCTGGGAGGGAGGGAAAACAACCTTGCACATAATGGAGTGGTGCTGGGTACTGAAAGGTGTCTCCTCTCACATAAAGCAGCAGTAAAGCCTCCTCAATCCACCTATACCTTGGTTGAGTGTTCATTTACCCCCACTCTCACCACTGCTATTCGCTGTGTTTAAAAAATGTTGGTATGCAGGAAAAGTTTCCTCCTACAGTGAGAGGGCTGCGGCCACCCCCCCTGCCTGAGCCCAGTGGCCGCATGACAGTAAGAGAAATGCCTGGGGAAGTGAATCAATAGTGGCACACTGGCCAGCTGCAGGGTGAGGATGGGGTAAATTGCTGGAAGAAACTTTCCCAGCCACCGGAGGAGTTGGGAGAACAATGCGGAGAAGAGGATGTGAGGCACTTCCCGCCACTGGCCAGCCCCACGCCAAGGAGTGCCGCAGCCTCCAGTGCTATCTTTGTACCCTTGTCATCGTCTGGAGGCGGCTTTTGCTGTTTGCTGTGGGTTTCTATACTCTTGTTTCTTTCAGCTCTCTCTCAGAGATCTAACTGTCTCTGCAAAACAAGGGGACTGTTTTCCCCAGCCTTTCTGGCTGACATCCACTCAGCCCATCCGAGGCAGGTCTCTGGGCCAGACTGGGAGTGTGTTGGTTCCTCTCTAAGATCTGGCTGCTAGAGCAGCGCAGATGCTTTTTTTCTCTTCTCATCCCTCTTTCCCTCCTTCTATCCCTGAGAGATGGAGATAGTGGATGTCTTGTTTGTTATGCTTTCCCATCACATTTGTCTATTACCAGCCACTTGAATCTCTGTCTACATCCTGCAGAGCTGCTTCTCTCTACAATATTCAAGTGCCTTTTGCAAGGGGAAAAAAAAAAAAAACTCACAAAAAACAACCCCAAACAACCCAGCCCTGTGATTTTCCTCCCTGCTCTCAGGAAACAGGTTTGTTTGTTTTTTAATGAATGCAAAAGAATGCAGATAGTGGTGAGGAAAAGCTTGGGCAATGAGTTCGGCACTTCTTTATTTAGGTTTCTCCATGTATATCAGCTGAGCCCAGCAGGCAACAAAGCAAGAGCTGGATGTTATTTCAGGAAAAGTCTGGTCTTTCATGCTTGAGACAGAGTAGTGTCCCTGGAGGGCAAGCCTGGGCTCCTATAGTGCATGGGTGATTTGGACAGAAAATGGTCAAGGAATTTCAGCAATGCTGCTTTTCTTCTCTGTCTTCCAGGCTCTTTGTAGCATATGTCCCCAGGGCTGCCCACTGCCACTGAGACATGTTGGAAGGACTTTGCACCTACAGCTCTGCCTGGCCTGGTATTTCCCACTGCTCCAGTGCTGGGCACTTATGGCTGCACAGGACCAGAGACACAACAGGCACATCCATGGTACATTGTGAGGGATAGACGGTGCATGGCAGTGGTGGGGACTCTGCCACTTACACCGTGTGGGCAAGGCAGCTGTGCTAGCTGGCATTGGCAGAACACTAATAACAGGTTCATTCCAGCTGTGTGCTTCTTGGAAACAATGGGCTGAAATCACAGTCACGCTGATGTCCACATCAAAAAGAAAAAAAATCCTAAAGTGATGTGGCAGATAAAGCACAACATTTCTCTTGACTTACTGCTCCATGCTAGTTAGTTTTAGGTATTTCTGCCTTACTGAAAGTCAAATTTCAGTCTTGAAGCTTCACTTCAGCTTGAAAAGTAGAAGTGCATTACACAGAGCAAGCTGCTTAGACTTATAATTTAATTTAAACAGCATATATATTTTGGCCATGGCTCTTTGCTGAATTCAGCACAGATTCAGGCTTGGTCAGACTGCAACTGCATTTTTCCATGCATAAAATATTCATTGCACTTTTTTACCTGGCTTTAGCCATGATATTGTGTGAATCACATCTTCGGAACACCTCAGTAGTTAAAGGTATATCTGTTCATTGGGATCCAAGCAGCTCTAAGACAGGTCACCTCTAGTTACAAGCCTGATATTCATTTTCCCATGGTGAGCATATTTCTTCTTTAGTCATATGCGATTTTTGCTTCTTTCAAAGTATGTCTTTTGTAGCAGATTTTAATGTAGATTTTTATGCAAGAATGTATTACTAGGTTGTTTTCTATTGATGCAGAGAAATCTTTTCTGCAATTTGCATCCCATTAACAGCTTCATAAGAGACGATCCTGATTCTAATGGCTCTGCACAATAAGCCAATAAAGCCAAATATGGAAGGGATTATGGAGTGTGTTGCTGTCATACCCACAAAATGGTTCATGTGTTCAAAAGAGAGGCATTGACTCATCTGACACCTAAGGTTAGTTCTAAGAGTTACTACTACTGATATTTTTCAGCAGCGCTTTGCCTTTTATCTCCTGTAGGTTGCCTTCTCAATTTTCTTGCTCTGGAAGCAGAAACAGAAGAGGAGCCCCAGCCTGCAGCCTTGCATGTGGGCATCCTACGCAGCCTGACGGGTGGAAAATGCTGCCGGATTCCAAAAAACACAGTGCTGTTACATCATTTCTCTAGTGCTGGAATAACAACAGAGGCTGCCTTAGGGCAGGTATAGGTGCTAGCCAATGTCCCTGCCACTGACACCTTCCTGAAGGCATATTTACACCCAATGCTTTCCCTGTAGGAAAGGCCAGGTGTCTGTGCTGAGCCTCTCAGATCTGCTGCCCATCTTTGATGCTGCTGGCACAAGGTAGGATGGTGGGCAGGCTTACCAGCTGTGGAGGATGAATAACTCTCTCCCCTGGCATCAAAGTTTCAATCCTTAGCCTTGGGGGGAGTTTATCGGGTTTTGTAAACAGATATTGGAAGTGAAGAGCAGAGGTTAGAAGCCAGCCTCCCGCTGCCTGAGACCCTACAGCTATGCAGAGGGATGCAAGGGGATGCCCACATGGGGAAACAGTCCCAAGTTGTGGAGAGGTTTCTGTTCCCATCACTCAGGGAGCACATTTTTACAGTGTTTTTATATAAAACTTCTGCTTTGAGGAATGAGGTGGCAGAAGAATGAACCTGGTAGAAAGCTAGCTCTGAGGAGAGAGGGAGTGTGGTGTGAAAGGTAAAGCTGTAGTCCAGAGCATGGTGGGACCTGCCCACAGCTGACTTTTCTCTCTGTCCACCAGATCCTTCCTTGTCTCCTCCTGCCTCATCTGGGGACAGCACTCACAAGTCAGCTCAGCCATCTGGCTCTCTTGTACCCTCTCTTATCCTGCAGGACACAGCCTGAAGTTCTCATATAAAAACAAGTAATTGTCCAGGCTCCTGGGAAATACATGGAAGGGTACTTGTTTGAACTGTGGCAATGCCCATACCACATTCCCTCGCAGTGCACATGTGATGCTCTATGTGTTTTTAACTAGCTGAAGGTTTTCACAGACTCATTCCCTAATAGAGAGACTTTATAACAAAACAAACAGCACTCAAAAAAGTATTTTGCCTTCTTTAGTCATGTTTGTATATGCTCTTCTTTTTAATTGTTCAGCCATTATGGGGCTTCAGCATGTTTTGTTTGTATATTGTGGCCTGTGTTTTCAGCTTCATGGTTATCAATATTGTCTTTATGCCTCCACTTGATTTAGAGTAGCATTTTCAGAGTCATGGCCCATTCACACTGTTTTTCCTTTAACTTCACTAAGCCGCTGTTGCTGCCATCCACCTTTGAGACAGCAGCACCCTGACCTGAGGATTTTTCCAGTTGTTGCAAAGCACTGAACAGGCGTGGTTCCTCTTCCTGAGACCCACAGGGTACACTGACTGGGCCTGGCAGTGGCAGGAGCTGGATACCAGCTTCAGATCTTCATTAGGAGCTGAGTTGGCCCAGTTTTGACGTGTTCTGATTCACGGTCTGATATCTTCTGACCTCCTGTCTCTACATGGCATGACTCTGAGCTCACCACGTGCCCCTGATGGGTGCATCGCTGGCTGCTTGGGGGTAGGCCCAGGCTTGGGAGGGTTCTCAGACGTGGACCAGCCTGAGGAGATGGTCTGTCACCTCCCAGGGTGTAGGATGTCTGGGAACTGGGTCTGCTCCCCTAAAAATGCAATTTTCTTTGCCACAGGATTTTGCACTTAGCCCAAGCTTTTGTGTTTCTTAAAGTTCTAGCATCTGTAGGGTGTAACTTTATCAAAGACTAAAAAAGACAGTTCAGCCAGCTTCAATATGACCCTCCCTTGTTTTCTTTTCCCTTTCTCTCAGCCTTTGAATTTTCCTTTCCTCTGGACTGCATATTTTATCCTTTATCTTTTTTTCCTCTACAATTCTATTATGGTGATACCTAGCAAAGACCAGGACCCTATTAGACACAGACAACAAAGACAGTTTTCAAAGAACCTGGCTATAAAATGCCTTTTTTGGAAGTTTCTGCTTTCAGTTACTTTTTTCTCTACCTTGTTTTCCATCCTTTTTTCTGGATATTTCCTTCCTTCCTTCCTTCCTTTCTTCCTTCTGTCCTTCCTTCCATCCATCCATCATAGGAGTATGGGAATAAGGAGCTGAGAGGAGCAACATCACTGAAGTGTATCTTTTCTTCCCCATCTACCACTCTGTGTAGCAGCCAGAGAGGAATACAGAAGCCTGTCCTGGAAAGGTTTTGGTGGAGCAGTCAGTGAGTTGAAGGGCTGGCTGCTCTTGCTTTCCAATGGGAGAAGGAGGTGGCCTAGCTGCAAGGCAGCAAGTGACCTATACAGGGGGCATTACATTTCTCACATCCTGAGACCTCATCTGCCAAATGTGGCCCAGCTGTGTCCCCTGCAAGGTCAGTGTGGAGAGCAGGCACCCACATGGCTGTGTGATGGCCCTGCTTTGCTCGGCAGAGTTAGCTACCTCAAATGCCAAGTTAGCGGGCAGAGAGATAGCATTCACCCTTAGAAGCTCCTCCAGCACTGGGCAGCATCCTTAATCAACATGTCTTTGAGGCTCTTGATAAAGAATACAGCAAAATTATTATTTTCATGACAGCCAACATACAGTTTTCGAAACACTCAGGATTGTTTCGGTTTATGCTTCAGACCACAACACTTAAAAGACAAATGCTATGCTCCTCGGTATAGCTTCCTTTAGCTATGATTTTATTTCTTTAGGGCTAAATTTTATTTTAGCCCTAACTAAAATTTTATTTCTGCTAATCTTCTCTAATATTTTCCACTATGGCATTGCAATGCCTGCACTGGCACTGAAGGCTTTTTTATTTGCTGGATGCAATTAGGGTTGACATGCACACACAGACAGGGTCAGAGCTTCTGGGTTGGCTTTCTTTGGGGATTTCAGGGAGGTTATGTAGGTTTTCTCATTTAGGACTTTGGTTGTGTGCAGATGCCTTCAGGCTTTGGGGAGCAGAGAGCTGCAGGATTCCTTTTGGTTAAAAGACAAACTAATGGGTCCAAGCGTACAGCAGTGGCTTTGACAGGTTACACAGAATCATAGAATCATAGGATGGTTTGGGTTGGAAGTGACCTAAATGATCATTCAGTTCCAACACCTTCTACTAGACCAGGCTGTTCAGACATACCTATTTGCAGTGTCACTTCCTATCACACTTGCAGTGGAGGCACTGTGATAACATTTCTTCTGCTAGAGCTTTCTGTTTGGGGATGCTGCAACATTTTCTTCAGGGCATATCGCCCTATGTTGGGGTTGTGCAAAATCTCATCTAAAAAAATTATGGCTAGGCAATGTTTTATATATTTGACATATATAACAACGCATATTGCATCTAGGAACTTAGTGCATAATAATATCCAAGGTGTAAGTTCAAGGGATCCAGCCTGCAGCATCCAGCCAGTGCTACAACCCCCACTCTTAGACAACTTTTGGGTGTTTAAGGTCAGGAGGCACCATTTTAGCCACCTATTCTGCTGTACTGGGTCGTGAGAAGATAGAAATTAATAATCTGGTGAAAGGAGAAAGGAAATGTCTCTAGGTGAGAGACAGGATTCAAGTGAGGACTACCAGAGCTGCTGCTTTGCGTTTGACTTGAGCTGAGCAGTAGTTTTCCTTTTTGGTGTCAAGTGCTAGGCTTTGTAGGCAGCCAGGCGAATGTATGGCATGGATTTCATGTGATGAAGTGTGGAAGTCTAAGATGGCAAATTAAAAGTCCTGGGAAGGCCAGAGGGGGAAGAGCCTTGAGGGGAAGCCATATGAGTAGCGGTTGAGGTCATTTGGTCTGTTCAGCCTGGAGAAGAGGAGACTGAGGGGAGACCTCATTGCAGTCTGCAATTTCCTCGTGAGAGGAAGAAGAGGGACAGGCACTGATCTCTTCTCCTTCATGACCGAGGGAACAGCCTGAAGTTGTGTCAGGGGAAGTTTAGGTTGGATATTAGTTTTAGACTATTGAGCCTTTCCCACTGGGCACCTTTTCAGGACCATTGCTGTAGCTCTCCTTTGCGTTCTCTGCAATCAGCTGAGTCTCCCTGAACTTCTGTGGCCAAAACTGCACAGATGACACTTCAAATGAAGCCTTGACAGCATAGACAACAGGGGAAGAATGGTTTCCTGTTTGTTACAAGCTGTGCTTCTGTTTGTACACTCATTAGAGCACTTTCATTTTTTACTGCAGCATGACCATGCTCATTCATGTTGAGCTGACATCCCTAGACCTCCTGCAGAACTGCTGCTGTGCTAGTTGTTCCCCAGTTGATCTTGCAGTCCTTGATGATGCCTACAAAACCCCAGAGCTCCACTTCGTCTATTCTGAATGGTGCTTCTCTTCCCACCCCTCTATCTCATTTGTCAAGATTCTTTTGCATTCCCCTCCCGTTCTCCAAAGTGCTTGTTCTTCATAGTGTCCTGTGCTAATTTAATGTGTTCCCTACTCTTGTGTTTTTTTCCAAAGATATTAATGAAAATACTGTGCACTGCCAGACAAAAAACAGATGGCTTCAGACTTCATTTGATATGTACTGCCTGTTTGACAGTGAAGCATTTATAACTGCTCTTAGTCTGGTTTTCCAAGCAGCTGTACACTCCTCTAATAGCAGTGTCTTTTAAAGTGTGTTTCTTTGCTTGGTTTATGAAAGTGTCAGGTAAGACAAAGGCAAAAACTCCATTAAAATCAAGATCTAAGACCTACTGTAAAAGGAAATTAGATTGATTTGATATGATTTGCTCTTGTCAAATCAATGCTTGCTGTTCTTCATCTCCTTGTTGTCTTCTAGGTGTTGGAAAATAGTTTATTAAATTACCACTTCCAGTATTTTTCCAGGAATTGATATTAATCTGCCTGATCTCCAATTCCTGGCTTCTCCTTTACATCCTTCCCTTTCATGATAGGTGCTAGATTTGCCTTTCCAAGTGTGCAGAAACACATGCCCCCCATCCCTGACTTCCGTGCTGATGGTGCCAAGTGGGGTTCAGCTGTTTTACCCAGTATGGCAGAAGACTTTCAGGGCTTGTCAGTTGGAATATAACTAAGTTATTTAGACACTGTCTAACCATCTTGTTCTTTCTTGCTGCCAGTATTCTTACCCTCTGACTGGGTATGCTTGTTGTGTTAAATGGAGCACTTTTGAGCAAAGACTGAAGGAAAAAAGTATGAAACAAAAAGCATGTTTGACATCATCACTCAGTATCTCCTGTTCGTGAAACTCAGGTCTTTCTTTAGCTCTCCTGTTGCTACTAGTGCATGCACTTCACACCCACTGTTTGTTGCATCACATCTTCATGTTGTTCTTCCATGCTTATGCTGTTCTTTTATACTTAGTAGCCTGACCTAGTTCCACTTTCTGTGTGCTTCCTCTGCACTTCTGCAACTAATGAAGAGCTCGTGATTTAGCCAGTTGATACCTTACTAGCTTCTCTTTGTACTTGCGCTATGTTGTCCCAGTACCAAGAAGCTCACAGTAGTTCTGTGCCTTTCATATAACTTCCTTAGGGCACTGCCAACTTCCAAAATGTCCTTTCTGCCTAGGATTTGTACCTCTGGGCTTGTGTGTACTAACACTGTGAGTTAGCTAAAGTCTGTCTCAAAGGCCACTGTTTTGTTTTCTTTTTTTCCCTTTGCCTCCTTTTCTCGAAATCATGACTTCTAATACTTCAAGATCGCTCTCACATCAGTTGCTTGTCACCATCACCTGCAAAAACAGTTCCTCTGTATTAATTAGAATAAAATTTTTTAGAGTAGCTGGCCAGGAAGAAGCTAGAGAGATGACAGCTGCTGTCAGTTCAGGGAAGGGCATAGACTGAGTACCAGAATAGAGCCAGACAGAGAAGCCCCTGCATATTTAGCACTTAATGGTGTCAGTAAAAGTTATAATTACCTACCTATGAACTTGTCATTAGTTTCCAGGAAGTGTAGCTAACGGTGGTGCAAATATTTGTGTTATTTGAGTAAAACATGAACAATGAAAGCATGTTATTAAAATACTTTCTCAGTTCTGTTTGTCTGTCTTAAGACCTTTTAATAATTGTACAAATACAATAAAAGGGTTGAGGCCTTATTAGCATAGAGTTAGTCTTCTTTATTAAATTATTCATTGACATTAAAGTGTGTTTTCAAACACAGAGATTTGGGGCCAAGCAGAGCTGTTTTGTCTTCATTGAGCCAGACCCTCCAGCTTCTCAACGGCCAACCAAGATGCATCTGGCCTTCAAGACCATATGAATCTTTTCCAGCCAGCTTTTTCCAGTGCACAGTGTGCGCTGTTCCTGGTAACATCTCACTCCAGCTACATTAGCCCTGGAAGAGCTTTCTTGTGCAAAACTCCAAGCCAAAAGTTGCTTTCTGGGAGCTGCTCTCTTCTTTGCAGCACATCCCACACAAGCTGACCCTCTTCCTCCTGTGGCTTTTCCTAGGTGACTGCCCCTGTGCTGTTCTGGAAAAGGTCCCTGAGCGGAGTGAAGGCAAGTTGTCTTTTGGCTGCTATCTGTGGCTCTGGTATGTTCCTGCTAGTATCCCTTTAGGTACTGAGAGATTCACCAGGAGGGCATCTGGTAACTCTGCTGCAAGTTATTTTAATAACATTATTGATTTCATTACTTCACTGTAGTTTTGCTTCACTACATCAAATCTTGGCACAAGGTAAAGCAGCAGCTACTTAATTCAGTATAAATTATGCTTCTTTATGGGGCATCCAGAAGTAAAGAGAGCTCCCAAAGCTCCCATGGATATCTGCCCAGAGACTGGGATGGTTGCTAAAGGAGCTGTTGACTTTACCTTTCCAAACAACCACATGAGCACAGCTTTATAACTGATTCTTCTTTATATAATTGTATAAAAAGAAAACACTCTTCCACTATTGTAGAAGAGCTATGATGATGCATCAATAGCTGGTATTCTTGCAGGTAATCTGATTTCTGTTCTCTATCTTGCAATTGTTGATCTGATGTGTCCTCCGATGGTTGCTCTTTGAATCATAGGAGGCTCCTTGGGAAAGTGCAGAGACCTTCAGACCTCAAGGAGAATAAAGTGATCACAGGTGGTTACTGGGTGAGCCATCGCAGTAATGCTGCATAGCCTCCTACTCATATGGGTCTCTTTAAAAAGAAAAAAACAAATCTACAAAATGCTGCCACAGTACATTATTCTTTTATGGTCTAATTCAGAATCAATTGTCATGAGTTGGAGAACGCTCCTGCTCATACTCTTGGACTTCAAATCAGATCTTAAAATGCTTAAAAAAAGCTGTGAAAAAAAGATGGGAAGATTTGAAAGGCTTCCCCATAAATACATGTTTTTTTCTAACATACCTAGAGGCTTAGACAACTGGCATATTTACATCAACATATTCTGGTTAAAAGAAATCACATTACTGGCAAGCAGAGGACCCCTCATTTTCCCTGAAGTAAAATCAAAAGTAGCAGTGTCAACTCATCATTTCTTAAAACGAAACATCTATTAAAAGTAACTCACCTGAGGGAAAAGCATGTTGTAACAGACGGGCTTTCCTCTGCTCCTCTGAGAACACCCAGTGGCCAAAACCCCTGCACCTAGACCCCACTGCTCAGATCTCCTGATGATTTTGTGGGAGAGGACTGAAAGACACATGACAATCCCAGGACTCATCCTCCTATTAACACATTCGCAGAAGAAGCTGGAAGGACAATTTACCCTACCTCTTCCCCACTGCTTTTTTATTCCAATAATTCAGTTCATGTCCATACTGAAGAATTAGTTCACCAAAGAGCTGACCTTGTAGGAAACTGAACCATGCTGGAGAGAAAATAAGCCCTAGTTATTAACATAAAAACAAGCTGCTCAGTGATGTGTGATACGAGTTCCAAAATTACATTTAAAACCTTTCAAAACTAAACCATGAAGAGAAGGCCTGACACTTTCGCTAACACTGTTTTGAGTGAAAAGCCAGAATGGAAAAACCTAACTGAAAATGTATTTGAAAATGGTTTCATAAAAATAAGGATCACAAGAAACAAACTGGAATGAATATAAACCATATTTGGCAATAGTACTTTACAAATTGCCTTGATTTTAGAAGGATGGAGAGTGCATGATAAGATCAGCTGCCTGCACAGGCTGTTTTATAATAAATGGCATTGCATTTTTCATCCCCAGCACAATCTCCAGCCATACAGTACTTTTATTTATTATGAGAGTGTTCAGCTGCAATGACAGCTGAAGTGAGGAAGGAAATGGCTTTGAGAACATGGGAAGAATCCCATAAAGTTAAAGGAGTGGAATGGGGAAAAGTATTTTAAAGTACAGGTGATAGTGTAAATTGCTGAACATCTGAAATGTTTTCCCCTGGTAATTTTAATCACTTTGTGAACTCAGTCACTCAGGCTTTTGTGAGACACTTGGTTTATTGTGGAAGCTTCATGCCATTAGTTGTAGCTCAGGAGTCAGCCCTGCACTCAGGGCTGTGGGCAGGACACGCCATGTGCAGCAGCATGCTGAGGCTGGCTCACAGCCACTGCCTCCAAACACCCACCACCATAAAATTAGCAGTGATCATCCCAAATGGGGCACTGATGCCCAGCAGCATTGAAGTTGACCTACGGACACCAGAGAGCATCCTCAAAACCACCACCTCCAAGAGGGATGTGCTCACCCACAGAGTCATACTGGGCTGAAGGCTGTGGGTTGGTGATCGGGTCTTCTTTGCTTTGTGCAAGCAATGAGCTGAGCATGTCTCAGTGTGAAGCATCTCTGACTCTTTCCAGAGATGCCTGCTGGGAGCTAGCCACCTCCTGGATGTGCTGCTCCAGGGCCAGGGCCATGGAGGTGCTCCCTCAGCTTCCAAGGACACGTGGACCATGGGAAGCTGGCCCAGGAATGAAGCTGGTTTTGAAGTATCCCATGGAAATTGTGCATACAGAAAGATGGAAGGGCATCTCAGGGTGGTTTATGCAAAATGAGTATTGTCAGACACATAGCAATGCTTCACAAATTTGGTCACGTTTCCCTCCACACTAATTCCACCCCTTGCTGTTCTTCAAGCACTGACATATTTTGCCACTGTACTTGGAGATTTCTCTTGCCTTTATTATCTAAGAATAACTAAATTATTTTGCTTGGTGCCTTTTCTTACCAAAAGAATAGCTGTTGCCTCAACTCTTATATTGTTAGCATGCTATCAAATCTCACCTGTAGTCTATCACAGTGAATGTAAAGGTGATTTAGACAAAAAAGGGTTAGGATAAACAGGTGGTATTTCAGTGTGATTAATGAATGAATATATCTAATGCTGATCAAATGACTGGACCTCATTTATGTAGGCAAGATTTGGGCAACCTCCTTGCTGGCAGCTGCCAGAGACAATGACAAAATTTTCCTCACCCATTTATTTTTTTTTCTTTTTCCTCTTAATTGACTTAGTTGGATTTCCAGAAACTAAGGGTCAGATCTTCTGCTGGGACTTTTGTTTTCATCATTAATGAGGTAAGTTCTGATCTTTAATGTTCAGTATTTTAACCACTCAGGCTGCCTGAGTCCTATTTCAGCTATTTACACAGGTATGTAGCAGGCATAAGTTGCAATGGGCTTGTTGGGGCAGCTTTTTGCCTTTTTCCTGAAACAGATCTAGCAGATCCATAAACTGAAGGATTTCCCCTTTACCCTGTCATCATCCTCTGTATAAGGAAATCCTTCCCTTCCATTGGACTTCCCAGTGAGATCCATGTTCTTATTTTAGTTCCCCAAGGGATGAGAGTAAGGTGATGAAAAAGGCAGCATGACTGGGCATTGCTCTCTCCCAAACTACCTCCTGCCCACACACCAAATTCCCCTTGTTGTCAGTTAGTGTAATTTACCATAACATAAACCTTGTCCCGAATGCTATTAAAAATGCAAATTATGTCCATCGCGCCCGAGGACTGGTAAATAAGCAGTTCCTTTGCCCACTTCCTCCTGGCCTCAGCACATGTTGCGCAGACGATGCTCTGCTGTGACATGTTTGTGAGATCTCAAAGTTTCACTTATTTTTTTCTTAATTTAAGCAATGCAGCTGCAGACTTGAAACACAGCAGACATTTAGAAACTGTATGACTTTCCCTAACTGTCTGTAACAGTTTCAAGATAAGTAATTTTAAAAAGAATTACTTTAAACGGGGACTGCTTTAAACCACACCTCTGTACTTCTTGGTTTTGCTTTTATCTTGGCACAGATGCCTACCCTCTCTCTAGCTCCTTTGTAGAGTTCATTATGCAAAGGCAAAGAAGCTACACTAACATTGTAATTTTGTTTGGCAAGGTGAGCCACAAAGCATATGCTGCGTCATGCCTTTTTATTACTGTGCAAAAATTGCCAAAGCAGCCTAAAGGAGGAATCAAGGACATGATCGTTGAGAGGAAAAGAGGAAACAGTCCAGTTTTACAACACTCAGGCTTGTAACCACTTGTGGTAGGTAGTTTCAGAACTGGTTTAATTTTAAATTATTTTCTTACCAACCAACAACAGCTTTGAAGTGACTGGTGTTTAACATCACCACTTTCTGATCCACATTGAGTCATTTTTCGGTGCCCTGGAGATCCAAGCTCTACCTGTGCAGTGGGCACTGTGTGGGCAGGGACTGTCCAATCCTCTCCCTGCATAGGGAGATGGCAAAGGTAAAGCAGCCCAAGCCAAAAGAGAAAGAAAATCTCCTTGAGCAGGCACTGACATCTGTTTTCCATTAAGGGGAGAGTGGCGTGTCACACCTTATTCTGATCATGCTCCAAGAGCAAAACCTGCACTTCTCAGTCTAGACAACCTGTAATCAGGCAAGGGAAGAGCGGGCAAAGGGAACAATTAATGGGTGTGATCTCAGCCTTCTGCAGCCTGCCCTAAAAACCTCCAAGGACTGGCTTTCTATGTGGGCATCTGTGGGAGCATAGATGAGACCCCCATGTCCACATCTCCTCTGGGGCTGCCCATGCCATGGGTGCCCCACTCCTGCTCCCTTCATACACTGTGCTTTCATTTGAAGGGGATCAAGAAAATAATTTGGCTTAAAAATAACCCAAAAGGTAAGCTACTTTTAACTTGGTCTCAGATGTAAACCACCATGCAGCTCCACGGCAGGACTGGGCATGAGCAAAAGGTTTGAGGGGGTAGAAGGAGGGCAGTTTTCACTATACAACACATTGCAACATCTCCTGAGTGCTTTGGTTGCAATGGCTACGAGCCCGTCTGAAACTTCAGAAACAGCTTTAAAGAAGTGGCTGTGTGGAAGGAAGCCCTGTGTCCACAAGGGAACCAAACCCCAGCCTATCCACCCCATGGCTGCTGCCCATACACTGCCGAGAGTAGGCAGGGGTGGGAGGAAGAGAGAGGGGCTG